GGCCGGCCGGACGGCCGGACACACTGACCGATTCTAGAGTGTACTCACTTTTTGAGTACACAAAAAAGAGCAGATATACATATATATATATATATTATCAAACAAAACATGAAAATAATTTATTTTTTTCTTAGATTATCAACTAGATCTTGAAAAATATTTTTTATTCTTTGCTCACTGGATGTTTACTGGTGACGTTTTCTTTTGTTTCTGCATCGTCAAAATATAAGAACTAATTTTTTTTTTGTTTTTAAATTTGTATATTATGTGTCTATGTCTAATACATAATTTTGTTTCTTGTCGATAATAAGAAATAAAATCTTTGAGTCTCAAACACTAAAATATAGATAACTAACATGATGTGAACCGTACGTCGAAAAAAAAAGCATAAATATACTATGAAAAGAGAAAACTAATAAAGAAATAACAAAAAACATTTTTTATATTCATTGCTTTTCGAACAATTTGAAAATTTAAAGTCATAACTTTTCTTATTAAGTTTTATTCAAAACAATATAAAGAAATTTAAAAAGAAGTAAAAGATTATTTTTGACGATAAATAAAATATTCTATAGAAAAAATTTATAATTAAAAGATGATTTTTGTTTTATTTTGAAAATGACTAACCTAAATATTTTTTACACAATTGTAATTCATTTTGATAAAGATTCAAATTAAATATTTCTTTTAATAATTTTAAACACCATTGTCTTTGATACCAACAAGAATAAGATTTTGGATTTGATTTAAGACATATTTGTGTAATTTGTAATTCTTTTTCTAAATATTCTTTTAATTGATCATCATTTAATTTAATTATTGATTCTCTTCGAATATTCCAAAGTGTAAAACAATCCGGATGATCAATAAGAATATTTTCTGTTTGTTTTAAAAGCTGAAAACTATCAATTAAATGACGATTATTTAATATAGATTCATATTGTGTTAAATATAATCGAAGTTTTTCTGCTCGTTGACGTTCTCGTGCAGCTTTTTGTTCAGCTGATGTTCGAACTTTAACTTGTCCATGAACAGACATCTACAAATTAAATAACCTACCGTTAATAAAAATAATTATTTTTAAATCCAAATTAAAAATTATAAATTAAACGAAAAT